AAAAAAAGACAAAAAAAAAAAGAGAGACAAAAAAGGGGTATCGACACAAGAAGACAAAAGCGCAGACCCCACAGAGACGCAGACCCCCTCGCCCCCAGAACAGAGACGCCCCAAAACGCGACCACCAACCAGCGAGGAACAAAAAAGCAACAACACACGACGACAACACCACCCACAAGAGCCCACCACGACCACAGCACCCCCCACCGCCCCCACTAGACAAAACAGCGCAGCACATCCTCCTCCTCTGAGTCGCCCTGGGAGACACGACGGGGACTGCAGCCCTGCCGAGCCGCCCAATCCTGAGCTGATCACTTTTAATAAAGGCATTAAAAAGGAGAAGAAGTCTCCTGGCCCTGTTTATTTCATCAGATACTGCTGTCAGTAGAGCTGGAGAGGATTTGAGCTGGCCTGTCTCTGGGTGCCTACTTTAGGGTGAACTTCACTCTTGTAGGCTTCCTGAGCTTTTGGGAGCAGATCTGACTGCATGGGAGCTTTGGCACCTTGGGCCCCAGGGGAAAAACACAGACCACAGGAATCTCAAGGTTACGGCATTTGCTGGGAAGATGGAGCTCCTGCACATTTGGCTTTTCTGGTTTTGTAGCAAGCACTGTTCAGAGTGAGAAACAGGACTCCCTGCACTTAGAACAGATTGTCTCAGATGAAAGAAGGCAGCCTCCTTTTTTTGTCTTCTTTCATGCCAGTTTTCTCTGCTGTTGTGTCTCATTGCTTTCTAGGTGGTTATTAGCTGATATGACTGGGACTCACCTTACAGAGTTCTTTTATTCTGCATTTCTTCCCTGGAACAGATTTATAAGCAATCAAATGTCTCCTGTCTGGTAAAAATAAAATGCTTTTCACAATAAGTGAAAGTTACAGACAATCATGAACTACTCATGGCTCCCAAATCAATTCATTTCAGTACTGGAACAGCCTCTGAGAACAGCCTCTGTCTCCTGCAGACAGAACTGTAACTTCATAGTGGTAACTGCACTGTGAAAATAGAGTTTGCCAGAGTGAAATTGTTGAATTCAGTCTTTGTTTCAGACCACAAGGATCCTATTTCATGCATTAAGTGCCAAGGAACTCAATTATTTATTACTTTATAGTTGAAACTGGAAAATTTCCCAGATTACTTATCTATTCTCAAATACTCGAACAAATGAGGAAAGCAGGGGAAATTTATTACAATGAGTAAATAACCAGTGAATGGTGAGCTCTTTCTCAAAAATTTGCAGTCAATATTCCAGATGACTCTCAGTGCTTGGCTGCTTCCTATAGAATTTAATATCCTTGTTTCAGCTAGAAATACTGCAAGGATACTTCTCTGTTGTGTAGCTCACTGCTGTACTCCTGTTAATTTTGACTGGGAAAATGAAGGGAACAGAAAAACAGAGAGACTTGGTAAAAAAAGTTCCTGTCGTTAATTTGCACATTTATTATTTTTAGATGAGTGAATAAAAATTCAGTCCATATTATAACTTAATCTTATCTACCCTTGCAAAATGGAATGGTTTTGCAGTAATTATCTGTTTTTGCATCAAGATAATTGTACTTTATTTTTTCTTTGCCAAGAGTGCTGATAAAAAAGAAAAGCTTCTCTGCAGAAACAGTGGCACTAATGTCCATTAAGGAAATTATGTTTAAAAACACTTCTCTTTCATTCAAATTACAGAAAGGAGAAGTTAACTAAGCTAACACAAAATGATGCAAAACATAGATCCTGTTGTGGAAATGTCAGCTTATTTTGATATATTCAGGATTCGAAAGAACTTATTTAAATCCATAATGTGTGTCTACAAAACCCTGGCTGTGAGAGCAGTGCTGACTCATTGCACAGAGCTTACAGCTGACCTGGGCAGACACATCAGCTTTCTGAGGGGCCAAAGTGTGAAATTTAACAGAATCTGGGATTGTTTCCAACTACCACCAATTCCTATTATCAGCAGGCTTTTTCTTTTACTGTCTGGAAACCCACAACTGCTTGTCTCAGGATTTCTGCATCTAGCTGCTCCTCTCCTCTGCTCTGATTATAAAGTAATGGTCTTTCAGACTTCATCCAGAAACCACAACTGCTTTTCTCAGGATTTTCTGCATCTAACTGTTCCTCTCCTCTGCTCTAACTGATTATAAAGTAATGATCTTTGAGACTTCATCCAGAAACCCACATGGAAACTCCTATTGAGCCTAAGTTTGCAAAATCCTTAAGAAAGACCAAAGAACTTCCTTCTTTAGCAGACAGACGTTGCATATTAGGTGATGTAAATAGATTCAATCTCTTGAGCCTCTCTTTCACAATTCTTTCAGGTGTTACAAAATTTTGCTTCAATTGTAAGTACGTGTATAGAGCAGTCTGTTGACTGGTTTTATATCAAGACAAAAGAAATGAAAGCTAATTATTTAATAAATTACCATCGTGGTTTTCAGAATAATAAAAATCAATAGCAAAACTTGACTGATATATTCCCCATCATTAATTGATTAGCCTCTTTCAGTGACTGTTCATGGCAGACTTACTAATGGTAATGGTAATTACCAATGGTTTTCTGTATAATAGAGGAAGATTAAACAAAAAAGTTACTAATTTGGACTAATTCAAAGAAATACTTTTTCCTCTGTTCACTGATAATTACACTAGGGTCTTGGTGATCATGAATAGCTAACACAAAAAGATATAAAACACCTGTCACCTGCCTCTGAAAAACCAAGTCCCTAGAAGATCTGGTTTCCAAAAATGTGTGAGGACATTTGTGCCTGATTGAACGAATGTAGTGTTGTCCATTATTCAAAGTTTATTTCCCTTTTCCATAGACAGAACATAATAACTAGATGGCCAACAAAGATTAGTGAAGTTATCAAGAACAGTACAAAGTCTTCCTGACCTACAAATGAGGAAAGAATTTTGTTTTCACTCACATACTAACAGTATGAAGTATTATCAACACCTACAAAGCTGGTTGAGCCTGTACACATTCCCCTTTCTGATATTTCTTTGGACTCCCTCTCACCCTGGTGTTTTATTTCCCTGCCAGCTTCCCTGCCAGCCCCATGATTTCTTTCTTTTAATTAAATTTACCTTCTTCCTAAATTCTACTGTTATCTTTTATCTCATGGGTTGATCCAACTCTCTCTTCTGTCTTGATTCTGGAAAGACAAATTCCTTTACATCAGGTTTTATTGTCTTGTTATGTGACATAGTGCTTTGTTGAGAGGAAAACCTCAGGAATTCGTGGACAGTTAACAAGGATAAGATGGAGCACATCCAACTGAGAGCTGCTGGCATATGTGCAGACAAGTCTGCACCCCTGACCTTTAGACACCACCCAGAAACTGATCTTTTGTGGTTCCACCATGAGCTGGTTCACCAACAAATTGGGTAAAAAATGTAACAAAGACACTGAATATTTTTCTGAGCTTTAGCACTGTTTAGCCAGTTTAAATTGGCTCATTATGAGGTTGTACAAGAGCCAAGGAAAGGGAGCTGGTGGGAGTCTGCTGCCAGGGACAGGCTGGGGGTGGGAGCACTTTGCCATCAGACGGACTCAGCCAACTTTGCACTCGGAACAAGATGCCCAATCCCTTCATCCTTAGAATAACAAGACCTCATCTCTGCATAAAGAATGTATAAACAGGGAGTTTACAACATATTCAATATGTAAATTATTTCACTGGACTTTTGCATTAAGCTATTTCACAATGCTCAGTTTTTATTTGACATCATTGTGCTTATTTACATCTTATATATGATGTCTGTAAGATAACTTTCATTGTAATTTCTATATAAATGGCTAGACTTTATGAGAAAAATCAGTTCCTCACAGAAGAGTTTCCTGGATCAGCTTCATAATGCTCATTTATTAATCAAAAGCATGAAAAATGCCATCCCCTTTCAAATATAAATTATGTCTTGTCCTCACTGCAAAATATCAAATTCTCAAAATGGATTAAGCATGTCAATAAAAATTAAGTTTTGATTTACACATTGCCCAGGGAACATCAGTCTTTATTAATGAAAATAATATGGTTAAATCTTCCTTACTTTTCTTATATATGTAGCCTTATTACAGACTTGCTCTGACATTCCTGAAAAGATTTGTCATTATTTCCAAAGACCCTGAATCAGTCTCAAAATTATTATTTTTTAATTTCTTCAGAGACAATCTGCTTCAAGATCTTTCGAATTGAGCAAGTTATTGGAACTTTGATAAAGAATAACAGACATATATTAAAAATAGTTTCATCACATGATATTTACCCCAAACCAAAATAACCCTTAGGAACAGCCCAGAGAACACCACAGAGTATTTGGCCATCCTTAATGTTTGACAATAAAAAAATATTCATATTACTTTGGAAGTTGCTTTATTATGAAAAATGCTGTGTGAGAGAGGGGAGCATTTCCTGTGACATTTCCATTGTTTCTGCTCCTGGGCTGGTCAGGAACTGAAAGAGGCATCTTTACATTCATAACCTTTCCAAACAGCAACTTGAGACTTCAGGCTTATTGATCACTACAGTTATTGATAATAAAATTACTCTTGATTTTCACATAAGTCAAAGAAGAATTTGCCTTACTGATTTTAGAAAGTTTGTTCCTGGCTTCTGCTTTTGTGACTTTAGAGGCAAACCAATGCAATCAATTTTATTGACTTTTTCTCTTCTCATTTCATTCAGTCTATAATTTTTTCTTTCTTCTTGTCTACAGAAGTATGGAAAGCTGTTCGAAGACAGCAAATGTTTCCAGACAAGTCTGAGGCAGAGAAGCAAACAATAGACATCAAAAAATATACAATGTCAGTGTGATCATCTCACACTGTCACTCCAGACTTCACTGCACTTCCAGACACTTTTGCAACTGTGCTGACTGACATTATTTCAACACACTTACAAAATGTTTATTAGACCTCCAGCTGTTCTGTGATAGCATAAGTGGAATGACAGTGACAAAATTGTATCCAGCTTGTTCTATATTAAATACTAATTCCTTTTTTTTTTGGCAGATATTAGTTTTTTAAGATCTAATTTTACCAAGAGAGAAGTATGCTGTTCCCAAGGGAGTTCTCTGTGCAGACTGCAGCTACTGAAACCCTTTTCTCTAAGTTGTACACTGGATGTGCTTTTGCATTTTCTGCATACCAGTGATGGTGAGTACGACAAGATTTGGTGATAATTTGTCCTAAAACACTGGTCAGACACTTCTACCTTTTCCTGAATTGTTATGCCCTGAAAGGAGTACTGGCAGCTACACAGCTTGTAGGCCCAAATCTAAAGGTCACAGATGTCAGCCAGATACTTAAGATTTCATCTTCAATTGCAAATCATTGCATAACTGCCATTTGTGCCTTTGAAAATATGCCCTAAAGTGTTTTGCTGAATCAGAGCCTACATGTGTTCTGGCTCACATCATATGGTACAGGGTGAAGTCAATAGCTAAAGGCTTCACAAGATTAAGAAAACAACTCTTTCCTGATGCACAGCTCTTTTTCTTTGCTGTCTGTAACTTCAATGAAGACAAAATCTTGCTCAATCCCAAGAGATAACAGAGATTGAAAATGAAATAAAGAAAACTTTGCAGGACAGCACAGGAATGCCTGTGATCACATTGTTGACAGGGAATCTCAGGTAACACAATAGCTTACCAGAATCAAACAAGTCTTAGTGCTTTCCCAGTCTTGTTTGGGGAAAGAAAACAGAGTTTGTATCAGTCAGCTGTCAGTGACAGATTTTGGTCATTTAAAACACTGATGAGAAGCAGAACTTCACTGCAATGAGAAGGGTTGAGGTTGTGAGATTCCTACAGCCCATTACTTTTTCCTGTCCCATCAGGTGCTGCAAGCTGGTGGGTTAAGAAGCCCTGGGGACTTCACAAGTTCAGGTATTAAATAGATGTGTATAATTTATTCACAGAAAAATGTGTATAACAATATTTATATTAAGGAAATACATTTGGTGGAGAAAGAACAGGACTGTAGCAATGAACAAAAATGTTCCCAGAGTTTGAAAGCAGCCTTTTGGATGCACTTTCACACTGCTGAATCCCTCTTCACCAATGCTTATTAGCACTTTCTTATCCATTGTTGCCAATGTTCTTTTCCTGATCACACAATGACAATCTCATCGCATCTCATTCTCTTTCACCACATCCTACTTTGAGGTCTGTTTGGCAGTTTAGACCCCTTTCAGATATCCAGCCCATCAAATAGTCACAAATGGCTTGTCTCTGTTTCATATTAATTATCATACAAAATACTTGAAATTATAATTCCCATACTTGAAATTTGCATGGCTAAAATATCCATATTTTACTTATCTTTTGGTTTAATCTGTAGGGTAAATTCATATAATCAGCACAAACTGTACCTTTCTGTTCTGAATTGCAGATCAAAAGTTGAATGTGAGTGGGTTTTTTTCCTTTTATTTTTCCCATTTAAAAAAAAATATATCATATTCAGTGAGTTTTTTCATAGGCTTTATCATGTCCTGTCTAAATAATTATGAGCTTCAAGTTTGGTTACTCAGCTTCCGTTTGTGGAATTTCTGTAATTTGTGTTTAGCAGGTGATTTATTTCTTGCAATTAGTACATGAATGTTACATCATTCATTCAAATTCACCTGATCTTATTAAGATATTGTCCTGGTTTCAGCTGGAATAGAGCTGAAATTCTTCTCAGTAGCTGTTACCGTACTGTATTTTGGATTCAGAATGAGAGCAGTGTTGATAATACACTGATGTTTTGGATTTCGCTAAGTGGTGTTTATTTTCAGTCAAGGAAGTTTTTCCTTGTGAGGAGGGGATCAAAGGAAAACTGGGAAGGAGGATGGCCAGGACAGGTGTCCCAAACTGGCCAAAAGGACATTCCACACCATGGAGTGTCATACCCAGTATATAAACTGGGGAAAGTTACTTGAGAAGGGGGCTGAGCTGGACTGAGCCAGGAGAGTCTGGCATTGGTCAGTGGGTGGTAAGGAAATGTATTGCACATCACTTGTTGAGTCTTTTTTCCTTTATACTATTACTACTAATAACAATAATAATTTTTATTTCTGTTATTATCATTAGCCATTTTTACTGTATTTTATTTTTGTTTTCTATTTTTAAACTGTTCTTATATCAACCTACAAGTTTTACTTTGATTCTTCTCCCCATTCCATGAAGGTGGCAGGAGAAAGGGGTGTTGAGGGAGCAGTTGCCTGAAGCTTAATTTCCAGCTGGGCTTAAACCAGGACAGATACCAAAAAGTTTCTGAGTAGGACTGCATAGCAAATGTTCAAAGCAGTAAAACACTAGCTGTGACTTCTTCCCTTGTTACACTACTGGAAATCATAATAATACAAAATACTATCCCATCAGCGATCAGCGTTGTGAACATTCCCAATAGAAGTGTAAAACAATATCTATTATCATTTTCATTGTTATTACATGAGCAAAAAGTGGTGTTTAGTATAAATTCCATTTACATTATGAAGTAAATACATTATTTTTTAAATAATTATATTAATGCTGAATGGGACATACATCAGATGGGAAAAGGGATGGAACTGTCCCGTGCTTATTAATAGTAGTCGTTTCAAGGCAGACATTCTTTGGGAATGGCTATTAGCTTCAGTTCCTTGAGAAAGATAGCAGTGAAAAGATGAATGTCAAACTCTCTGAGATATCAATTTCCTTTTGAAATGCCTGCATCTTGCAGTTTTACAATGCAGAACTATGTTTTTCCTCTGGCCAATATAGCTCTTAAACACTGGAGGTAATGGAACTCTTTATTGTGATTCTGCAGTCTGGTATATTCTGATGCAATTTTCCAGGCAGACAACCTGTGGAAACACCTGCCCACGCATCACAGCCGTGCCAAACCTGCCTTTGGCAGATACTTCCCCACTCACACAGCAGAACCAGCTGCTACCAGAGTCCAGGTGCACCAAATCCTCATTCCAGTGAGTGAAAACCGAGGTAAACATGCCTGTTTTGTAAATCTTGCTGGGATTTACACACAGGGATAACACCAGTATCAAGTTCTTCTCCACTGTTAACTCTGGGCATACCTCAGAACGCACCAAAGAAAGTCAAATAGCAAATAAACAGAAAATTTCTTGGTAAAGAATTAAGCATCTTCTGGATAATGCACTATTGTATTAAGGGGTACATTTTCTACATTTTGGGTTTAGGCATTTGCCTTCTTTTTGTATAGCAAAGTCTGTTGAAAATCAACTTCTTTTATCCTTTTAAAGCCTTAATATAGAAAACATTCTATTGACAATGAAGCCAGTACCTGGAGAAGCAAAAATTTCTCTATACAGCATTAAAGAAAGACAGAAAAGTCAATATCTCACCTTCCATTTTCTTTGCAGTCTGGAGCTATAGCTTTGTGATATGAACATCCTGTGTGGAGGAAAACCTATGCTTTTATCTGAATCTCAGTTATCCTATTTCTAGTGCAAGGTGATAAGCTGCTATGAAGATTTCACTCAGGGTTCTATGCTATCATTTCCTATTGTTTAGCACTAATGCTATTGCAAAAAAAAATGCTTCAAAGTTTATAAGGTTTTCATTATTACACAGTATCCTCAACTGGTCTGCAGAGATGTTGGCTCTTTCAAGAAAACACCTGCACAATTTAGTCTTAATTCCATACAAACAGAGGATATTAGCCATAAAGAATGAGTAGCCAACAGATGAACAGCATTTTGCACAATAATGCCCATGCTTTCACTTCAAAATGTTTGTAATTATGTCTTTTCAAACTCAAGAAAGATGTAGAAAAGGTAATAGGGAACTCTCACTGCATCTCCTCATTTTATAAGAATCAAGGACATAAAAAGAAAGATCAGGTAATTACCCCAAAATTATTGTCTCATCAATGTCTAAAATACGAAAACTTACAGTTAAAATGATGAAAATTATGCACATAAGAAGGTAATGGCATGTAACAAGGCAAAACCCACTCTTTCACAACCACGGCTATAAAAGCATTTTGCAGCAAAATTGCTATTTTATAGGTATGGTATTATTCAATAACAGTAAGAAAAATAATCGAAATGTCTGTCAGCATATAACTGAATTGAAAACCATGGTATAAAAAGCCAAGAATCTCTTTGGATCTCTTTGTCAGAAACTTGAACCTGAGTGCCAGGAGGGGATTCAGCTTCAGACAGCAGCACTGTCATCACGGTGTCTTTGTGTGGGTATTTCCACACCAGGGAAACATTCAAGCCCCACCTGCTAACAGATTTCTAGTCAAAGGATTTAGAGGGATCCAACTAAGGTTTCAGCAGACATTAGCATTTGATCAGCAGAATTTTTGCCTCATCTGCCTCTGACAGAGAACTACATTTCCCTGCCTAAGCATAACAATCTCATAGGGGTTTTGATGCATTTCAACATTCCCCTGGTTTCTGCTCATCCCTCCAAAGGACACAGAGTTTTTCTCATCCCATGCAGAAGGCTCAGCTACTACAGAGAGTTTCAAATGGCACAAGGTGCACATATTTAGAGAACTGCATTTATTTATCCTGCCTTAATGAATTGAAATAGGAATTGTTTTATTCAGCTTAATGTTTTTGCTTCAGTTTGTGCAGACAGGTCTTTCTCTAGCAATCATGAAGGACCTTGGCAGTTAGGTTTTCCCTTAGCTCACAAATATTCAGTCATAACTATCTTCACTGCAATAAAAGAACAAATTATAAAGTCATAGAAATATGACCACTATATTTTATAGTTTTAAATCTTTGTTTGAATGCAGGGAGCATTCAAATTAGTAATTTCTTTTATACTACTTGCTATTGCAAGTTCATGACTGCATAACAGATATAAGATCAGTGGAGACATGCATTAAAGAAAAGCACAAAAGAACCAAAAATAATGAATCATACAGCAGAGCTACACTATGAATCCTCTGAGGGGTATGTACACATTCACTTCCCTTGATTTGTTTTATTGATTTGTTTTATTCAGAGAAAAATGGTAAAATACATCAAATCAGTGTTGACATCTGGCCATTAAGGGGTCTGCATCAGTAATAAAAGGATAAATTCTCATCTCAGATTATTCCCTGCATTTATAGCAGAAATAATGGGTTGAACTTGATTTTAGAGTTAAGTATTAGTGACAGTTGTATTCAGTTCAGAACTTGATTGCCCCCAGCCTAAGGATGCAGCCAAGGCTTCTCTAGGACTCTGACTCACTTTGATAGTACAGCTCCTGCTTGCCGTACAAGCCAAAAAATTTCAGATGGAATTTTTGGTGGAGGAATAATGATGGAACTTATTTACCTTGTGGAAGGTCTGATTCCATGGACTGATCACACTGATAATTAAGACGCTTCTTGATTTTCCTTGAATTGCCTGTGTGAGCTGCCCTTCCTTGGTGTGTCCCACACTGGGACCAGCACAGTGGCCCGTCCTTTAGTGTGCCTTGGACCTTCTTAGGAGTCAGTCTACTGGTCTCTATCCTTTCTGAGCTGTTTGTAAGGAAGGAATAAAATCAGGGGAAAAGAACTGTGGGACATCTCTTAGCTGGCAGTTGCACAGTGTGGTATATTTTGAGTATCCTAAATGTACCTGAAAGGTAAATAGAGACACAATAATTCCTGCATGACTTGTCTGCTTGAATAATTACCTATAATCATATTTTTATTGTTGAGTTGCTAGATTCAATTAGGTACCTATTATATTTCTTTGGCTACTCACACACCAGCATGGCTTTAAAAACCTTAAGGGTTTTCCTGAGATCCTCTGTACTTCCTAATGAATAGAAATATTGCAGTATAATCACATCTCTCTTATCAGTTGCAATATTAACCTTGGCCACTTTAAAAAAATGGTTTTGTGCTTCTGATATCACGATGCCATATTTTATCAAGGCAAACAAATAAAATTTCAATTATGAAATCTCTGACAAAGCTATGACAAACATGTCATATTATGGAAATTACTCCTCTCTAAAAATAGTCAGGAATAAACTCCATTCCTTTTTCAAGAACCTGTCAGACTCTTTCATAAGAAATGTTCATACAATGATTCTCTCCTTTATTAAATTTCCATATGATCACTGAATTCTTTATCTTTTGTAATTTCTGAACATTATCATAACAGATATGATTGATTATATGGTAAAGGGACACTAAGAAAGTGACTTGTTTGTTCCTGGGATGTTTTAGGGAAATTCAAGTTTTGAAAAAATTAAAATGAGCTAACAGAAGGAAAAAACCTGCTTTAAAGGCTCCAAGAGCACTTGACTTTATTTGCTTCGACCAGTTGTGTACTCAGTATACAATACTGAGTTGGAGTTTTCTACTTTGATACTTAAGCATTTCTGAAACACAATGGTTAGTAGTAGCATATATGCATATACTTCTCCTTTTTTAAACTAAATAATAGGAGTTTTTAAAATATTTTTGCTTCTCTGGAACCCCAGAGCCAGCAATGCTCTCTTGATGCCCTCTCTAATCCTGATTTTTTGATTCATTTTAACAAGTGATTTTTCTTTTCTTTTTCATGTGGTCTGTCATTTCTCCATTACACAGTGCCAGTTACACAGTAACATATTTTCATGCCAATATATTTTTCAGATGCAAATAGGCTGATTACAGATTAGGTGCAGAAAGGATGCCTTTTGGGAAATGTACAAACTTCTCACTGTCTTCATCAAAGCTATTAGTCTTTCAATTAGCCCAAGAGTGACAGTTCCTGAACTTCACACTAACTTTCTATTCTTTTGCACTTCTATTTGTCATTTTTATTTCACTTCAATTCACTTGAAATATGAACAGTTGGGTTTTTTTTTAATTCAGTGCATATGTTTTACTTCTCGGTTTTCTCAAACTATGATAACTGTTTTGCAAGGAAAAGAGTCAAAAATGCTGATGCCCCCTTAGCTTTCGATACCTGTGTATTTGCCAGAAATTCCACACCAGATTTTTTCATATTTGTCCCTGTACAAGAATTGTGAAGAGCACATACAATATTTCTTTTCCCATCTAAAATTGTGTAACATCTATTGGGCAACTCCACCAAACTGTAGAGATAAAAAATAGAATAAGGAGAGGATACCTTGTTTTCAGTTTCTTTTACTTCAGTGCAGCAGATATATATAAAAAGGAGGCAATGATTTATGGCCTCGTATTGTAGCACTGCTTCTATATGCTGCATATTGACTATATTTAAAGTCTTATTGCTGGAAGGAATGGAGAACATCTGTTTGGAAAAAAAAAGGAGTGGCTGGATTATTCACTAATGTCCATTTGTCTTGCTTTTTTTCACATGTTCTTGTCCTGTGATGATCTCAGTGTTATCCAGGTCTATGTTTAGCCTTGAAATCACAAGTGCCCCTTGCTCTTCAGTCAGAACTCAGGAGAAGAATGAGATAATCTGCTTGATCATTTTTCTCTGGAAAAAAAAATGTTACAATAAGTATGTTGGTAGTTTAGAAAGATGGAAGTTCAAAAAGTGTGGTGTGCTCTTAGAGTGGACTATGATCATGTTTGCCATCTGTTTGTTCTCAGGTGAGGTCATGGGTTTGTGAACAGGTTATGTGATGATCTGTGCACAGGAGCATTGCATTCTCCAGGATTTTTGTTGTGTCTTTTGCTTCATACATGCAAGAATGGAATTAGGGAATATTTCCTTCCTTATTTTGTCATAAATCTTTTATCTTAAGAGACGGGAGGCAGTGCTTTCAGATCTATTAATAACATCACAAATCTTGCTGACATGCACATTAAAAAATTCTCATGGTCTTGTGTTGCAATATTCTGAAGCCTTCAAAAGAATTTCCATCACTCTTAAATTTAGTAGGTGAAGCCTAAATTATTAAAATTGCTCTTTTGAGTCTACTTTCTGCACAAGAGAAAGAGAACCAGTAGATAAGGAAAGTTAAATGATAGGGATGTAAATATAAATAAAGTGTTATCGCAGGAATGAGAAGAATACTTCAGGGTAATGAAAGAAACAGAGAGGAAGAAACAAATTTGAGGTAACGTAGTGTAGGTGATTCAAGAGAAAAAATCAAGGGATGGAGGAATAATTTGAGACGGAAGATAGTGCAAGAAAGGTCTGGAAAGACAAAGAGTGTTAAGACAAATCTGCAAGCAGTGGAGAAGGTGTCTGTGTTGTTGAGCATACACTCAAATTTGCAGTGAAAACTTCATATCAATACAATGTAACCAAAAGCAATGATTCAAAACAAAGTTCATAGAAACATCCTCAGTGGCTATACTTGGCCAGCAAACATAAACCATCATTTTATAGCCAGAGAACCTGGGATAGGAATAGTTAGATTCAAGACTATATCTGAAAAATATTGTGTGTAAAAAGAAAACAGAAAAAAGAGCATCTTATTCATTCCTTTATTATGTCAGGATCTGAAACATTACATCAATTAGCTTGCTTATATTAATTTAAATTTATTTATTATGGCAAAAATTATTTAACAAACTTCCAGACAAGGATGTTTTCTTGGTCAGACAAAATCCCAGCATTCTCCATCTGAATTAAATTGACTAAATTCAAGGAGAAATTAAAAGAAAACTATGAGTGAAAACAATTGAAAATGAAGATCAAAAGACATATAGGAAAGAGAATATATCTTTAGACAAGAACATAGAGACAGGAGCTCACATATTATAATACAAACACTCTTTTATATGAGAGTGGGTCTTTGACCAGTCACACAGTTGCAATTCTATATGGAGGAAAAGTGGAAAATAGCAAACTGGGCACACCAATCTCTCAAGCTGGTAGATATAAAGACTGTAATGTCTCTGCAAATTCAGGAGTCCTCTGGGGTTAATTGCCAAGCATTTTCCTTTTGACAGATTATGGGTAGTAAAAAACAGGTTAATATTGCTGTGATATAAATACCAGTTATGTATTGCTATTCTGTAAAAAAAAATAGTGTGATTAACTTTCCAAGCAGCTTCAAATCTCTTAAAAACTTATACCAGAGTTTCATGCTTTAAATCAGAAAATAAAGACTCTAAGAGTGATGTTCTATCTTCAACAAAACTATTCAGCCTTTCCCCATTATCTGTTTCAATTCCCAGGTAGCCTTTTTTTAGAAGGGTGAATAGAATTTTCATATCAACTTGCATTGGTGACCCATGTAATTGCCTTAGTCTTATGCTACACGAAAATCCATCTTTTGAGCTGTGTGATGACAGAAAGGCAGCTTTGTTTCCCATCATTGCAAGCAACCTTTATTAGAAAGAAATCACTAGCAGCTATTCTACTAGTGATTCTGATTTAATCAGCCAAAAAAAAAGGAATGAGAAACACCAATTTTAAACTGCCTCTTTTTCAATAAAACAGTTTTATTATCAGCTCTGAAATGGATGTGTCTTCACTCGTATTAAAGTTTGATAAAATACACTCTTATTGACCTGAACAAAGCTTTTGCTCTTTTTGCTGTTCATCATTTATAGTGATATCTGTAGAGCATTAAGTCCTTTTTATATTTTTAAATGAAAGCTCTTCCTACAGATAACCTATCAGCACTCCACCTATCTGCATGACTTGTCCATATAGTCACATTATTTTAATATATTCACTACATTTGCATATTGATTTATTTGCTGTGAAAGACAAGATCTTTATTCATTTGCTCTTTGCAGGTAGGAAGGGATCCCCGAAGAGGAGCATTCCTTGAGACCATCAACAGCATTAATTCAGTGCACTGGAGTCCTTGGAACTGGTATCCTGGAACACCATTGCCTATCAATTTTCTGAGGATTCTCTTGACACCAGGAGAGCTGTTATATTTAGATGCTTATCTGCTTTTGACTGCAGTGCAGTGCTTGCGAAGATGTCTTTCATTTTGAGGCTTAACACATTAAATATCACCTGATCTGAAGATGTTTGAGGGTGTAGAGCCTGTGGCATAGAATAAATGTCTTGTCTAAAAATAGCGTTACATTTCTGCATAGCCCTTCATTTTGTGTAGCTCTACTTTGTACATAAATTAAGGCACAAAGAGAAACTAAAGGTCTGTCTTCACACTGACAGAGGGAAGAAATCTAAAAGCTTAAAAAGAAAATCCTCTGACATTCCTACTCAAAATCTCCCCAGTATGTCCAAAAACTACTTTGAATAGCAGAAGCCCTTCAAAGGCTTCTAGATGGAAAACAGAAAAAATGAAAGCTGCAGTGTCATGCTGAATCACAGATATAACAGCACAGATTAAAGCGGCAATAACTCACTGAATATTCACTTTGATTATGTGAGGTTTAAATAAGGCCTTTAAACCAAGATTCCTCTGTGACTAGATCTTTAGTGTACACCCACTTAATCTCTTAAATTACTATTTCTTAACATTTTAGGAAATAATAGATCACTAGAATAAAATTACTGGTCTAGTAGATAAAAGGAGAAGAGCCAAGTAACCATAACCACCATGGGCTATGTTAAATAACACTGTGGGTTAGCAATGACAAAGCACTAGGCAACAGCAGCCTGTGTGCCTATGTCATATGAATATCCCCCAAATAGGCAAATCTGTCACTTGAATGTCTACCCATTGCAGCCCTTTTCAAATCACAAAAGCTTTCTCTTACCCAAATCTGAAAATATCATCAACATATGCTTTTTAACACTAAAACTTTGAGCTGGATCTTCACAAATAAAAAATACTTAATACTATGCTATGAAATCATCATTTGCAAGCTGTCCACAGATACCAGTCCAGCTCTCCTAAAGCACTTCTGGTAAGGAGCTTATTCCCTACATACCCACATAAAACTGCTTATCATTGTTTTATTTACAGCTAAATTTATTACTTCGAGTTGTGGTCATTCAACAGTGGAAGTGGAGAAAATTTAGCAAGACCATAATGCCCTGAAGCTGTAGAATGAGCTTCTGACTGGCTCATCAAAGTTGGCTTGGGCCATCACAGCAATGCAGAAACATATGGTTAAGGTTAAGATTTAGTCACAATATAGTCCTGATGTCTTACCATGACTATTAAAGAAATGAGGATTTTCTTCTCTTCCAGTCTATTCTGTGTTTTTTCCTTTGGTAGCAATGGAGCTATTGAAATGCTAATCATAACTTTTTCATTCCACATTAAGAACAGAGAGGAAAGCATTAAGAATATTTAGGAGTTTCATTCCTATGATTTCAGTGGTTTTCCTGTATTGAGGGCAGGAAGACTATGAGAGAGAAAATGAAAAAGGAAGAGAAGGGAAAGGGGAATTTAGGGAAATCTCTCTACTATTAAAGAATTGGAAAGACATTTACTTCCTTCAGATGCTGTCTTTAAAGATGTTGCTTATAAAATATAGGACAAAATATTATTGCAAAAGTCTTACATATAGAACAATCTTGAGATTCCAGCCTTTGAGGTATTTCCAATCAAATGCCTTGGTGAGTCATGAATTAGTTGAAAAGATAAAACTAGCAACACAGTCCTAAAATTATAGTTATACAGCATAAATTCTCAGCTTGGTAACAAACAGATAATTTAATGAATTACCATCATCTTATCTTACTTTCCTTTTAAGTATTACTATTTGTAGTAGTGGATACGATCAAGGTGGAAATTACTTTTTCAAATCACCCTCTTTTTAATTTTTTTCCAAATTTATGACATCTGTGTTCTTGGCTCATTCATAATGAAGACCATGAACATGTCCCTCTCCAGCATGTATATTTTTCATTCATTTGTGATACCAGAATGTACACATCAAGGAATGTTTCTCACAACACAATTATTTTCACTCTATTTAGGGAAGCAGGCTTTTTTGTTGCTCTTTTTGTTGGCTTTTTTCCCCTTGAAATCAGCACTAATTTCTTCCAGATGTTTGTTATACTAATAGAGAAGAGTAAAAATTCAGTAAAGGAAAAGAAAACTAATTTATATTTTACCTGTTTAAACTGCTTTAAAACAATTTCAACAATTGCTGCATACTCTGTGAAGTCTGTAAATTCCGGTTTAGCTGTTTTATAATCACTAAAGCCACAGGCAATGTGTATGCAAAATGTGATAGAATTATGAGGTGGGAAAATCTGACAAAACTGCAAAGATAATGTGGCCTCTATGTTGCTGCTTTCTATAATTTCTATCCCCTTTTCCATCCTCCATAACTTTTCTCAAAAGGTAAACTGAATAGATAATATGTAATAAAAAATGGTACCAATACTGGCTGAAATCTTCAGGAAGGCATTACAAAATAAAATTTGCTTACCAAGAAAGGAATAATAAACCCAACATGAATCTGTATTTCAGACATTATTTTATAATATGATGAAAAATGCCCTGGTATGTACAGTTTTATGGTAAAAAAACATTGTCAGAAGACAGATTTTGTAGGGCTAAAATAATTTTTTAGCAACTGTGTAACAAATCAGTTCTTGACTCTCTAGGATGATGCCAAAATTGTACAATTGACTTGATTGGTGCTACTCATACTAGGCAGGATGGTGTGTTTATAAAGTGTATATAATGTTGAGAATACTGTATATAAAGGTAAGAATGACATCCAGCAATAATCTCTTCATTTTGTATTGAATTGCACCCGCATCTATGAGCCTCTATAATTCTAGAGACTTATTTTATTCTATTATTTTAATGTAAAATACTTGAACAATCCCAAGAGAGTGTTCATGTGCATTGGTTTCACATTTTCTGCACTTTCTAAATCTAGCCAAGACCTTACATACACAGTATCCATTGATCTATTTAATTAGGAAGCAAAGAAATCACATCTCTAGTATGCAATGCTAAGTGTCTTTATGGATAAAAAGCTTTCAAGAATTAGAACAAAGATGAAAGGAATACCCACACATTAAAGCTTAGGGTACCTCAGGGCAAGTGAAATACATTAAGTGGGCACTTACAGCATTTAAGTTTAAAATTAACTTTTGATATAAATCAGCAGAGGTCTATCTGATCAAACTCTTGGATGAGCCTTTGTGATAACTAGGGTGTAATCTCTATAGTCTATTGCAAATCATAATGCCAAGCACTGCAGAGTTACAATTAGCCTACACAGATAAACAGAAGTTTTATCTCAATATTTTGATGATTTAAAGAATATTACAGACATCCACATTTCACAGAACAAGTGGTTATACACTATGTATTACTGGTTAGGCTTCTTTAACTATGTGCAATTTTACTGAACTCTGCAAGTAGGACAATGAGACATCAATGTATGCTCGAACTGAATCAGTAATGTCTTGCAAAACAAAATTAAAGTATATGTGTATGGTAAACAAGAAAACATGAATTCATAGTCAAAACACCAGAAATTACAAATTCCAAGGTTTTGGAGAACTTTAGATTTTCCCTTTGGAGACAGATGTTAATTTTCTTCATTCTGTAATGCACCTTACCTCACACAAAGGAGCAAATACAAAACAGTAAGGAAGATGTGCCTGGATATGTGTCAAAACCCACCTCTCAAAACCCCACATTAAAACCTATTTCTCAAACACATTTAGAAGTGGAAGCTAAAGGTGAACAGATGTGAACCAAGTGTACTGTTCCCTTCCTTTCTTGATGCAGCAGAATCTGGTTAGCTTTCCTACCCATTTGAGAATGGTTTGTGAGACAAAATGATTGTGGTGGAATTAGTGTTTGAAACTGGACATCATGGGGAGAAAAGGAGATCAGACAAAATCTGCTCCAAGACCATCAAATTTCCAACTCACATAAGAACCTTGTTTTCATACTGGATTTTTAAAAATGATCCCTTCTGAGGCACCAAATACCCATTTGAAGTACGCCAATATATTAATCTGAGCCATCTTTTTCTATAACCTAGGTAATGATATTTGAAGCCTGCCTTTCCATATCTGAATTTTGAACTGATTGGAAGCTGAGATTTTTTGTGTCATTCCTATCATCATGTCAAGTGAAATATGACCTCATCTGCAAAAATGCTTAGAAATTTATCTAAAGATAAACTGAGAGACACTTGTCTTCTGTGGCAGTGGTTTCAAATATCTGATAGTGAAGTGTTAATTGTCAGTAAAATACAACTGCTTTGTGCATTTTTTTTAATAAACCCAAATTTTATACTGGAATAACAGCTGTTGCCAAACAAAATGGATAGAGCAGTTACCAAAAAAAAAACCAGCTATCAAATAGAACTGGTAGGGTCTCTTCATGAATATATTCATCCTTCAATATAATTTCAGCCTAATTAAAAAATATCACAAACTAAAGTGCATAGTTAATTACAGGACTTACTTTTACAAACTTCACATTGTTAATTTTTTTTCTTGGAAAGAAAAGTGCACTGAAAAGATAGTTCCTAATGTTATTTTGCTTTTGCAGAGCTGGCCAAAAGCCAAATTTGAACAGGCATGCTTTATATGTAAAACTTATCATGCAGTTCTAATTAAAATCTACTGAAGCTTTCAGCTTCATTTAGGAGAGTTCATGTTCTGAATGCTTTTTGTTTTCTTTTGGTTGCATTAAATGTCAGGAGAAACTATCACACTTTCTTAAATTAAATAAGATGGACTAATTTTTAAAACATTGGGAAGCAAAACCCCACATTTTATTTCTTATGACAAAAATCTCACAGGATTTTTAGTGACACAAGTTCTGCCTTCAGCAAATATTCAATATCAGCCTGTGGAGAAATAAAAAATATTTCCAAAAAGACAGTATTTAATTATTTATTTTCATTGATAGAATATATGTTTTTACATATAAGTACATCTCACTGGGATTTATACTGAATGTAGCTGATTTAACCACATGTACAAAGCACCTAAATCTGTTTCTCTCTTTTAGTGTATTAATTTAAAATGCTATTTAAGTGTGTGCCACTGCTGAAGTGGTTAACTCTGGGCAGTTTTTCTAAGAAATACATTTTCTATGAAATCTCCTCATTTTAGTAGGTAAACATTAACTGGCAAGATAGTAGATATTTGCAGGTATAGACCATTTCTATTGTCTTCTGTCTATATTATATGTATTGAGCAGGTACATCTATGGTATATAATTTATACTAAGATAACAATTAATAGTTAGTAATATAATGCAATGAAGAAAAGACTAAAAATAAATAATACTGCAAAGATTATAACGTGGAACATAGATAAAGATATAGATATAGATTATATAGATAGAGATACTAAGGAAACAGTAATTTTCTTTGTGCCCTATGGAAAGTGTAAGTGAATTGGTGAGACAACACAGATTGAACTACCATCAACAGTGCTGATAAAGGCTGCCTCCACCCCTCCTTTACCGCTGATCCACTGTCTGGCCCATGGATGGCTTGCAGTTAATGGGACCCAGCTCAGACCCATGCAAGGCAGGCAGGAGAGCCCTTCAGAAGAGCTCATAGCTAAGGTTAGTCACCATTGGCAATCTAGTGCATAATTTGTGGTTATTTTAGGATTTACCAGGTAAAAAAATCCCTAAAAATAGCCTTCTTTCACCTGTACTTGAGTGGGACATCCTGATCTCAAGAGATCACCACGGACTGGTGACACATGTGGCAGCTGGAATCTCTCAGGCCATGCCCATGCAAACACCTCTGTGTGGTGCCTGCACCTCCGAACCCTGAAGCACCACTGCAGGCTGCAGTGCACCTCAGCACCAGGAGTGTCACCAGGGGTGGGAAGCACAGGATACAAAATAGCCACCATATTGGTTTTCTAGAGAATGACAGAAGAAATATAGGAGTTAATTCCTAAATTTTATCCACTGCCTGGGAAAGTAAAGAGATCTTAGAAATGAGCTAAAGTGTTGCCCGACAGATAAAGGACACAAAACTCGGATAAGTTTTGTGCGATGCTTTATTAAAGGGCCCGGGAGCCTGCGGACTAGCGTCCCCAAATCAGACCCCCAAATTTCACGTACAGGTGCTTTCCTTTTATATACATGCAATTCATAACAAAGTCTCCAAGAAACAGTGCCCCTTGCCAAGCGACAGACCCTTGTAATACATTCCTTAGTTCAAAAGCAAAATCATAAATCTTCTGCTTGTCTTATTGTATGCTGCCCCCAAACCGGTTAGTCTTCTTACTTTCCTACCCTGGTTTAAATGTTTGTTTAAGTTCCTAAGACTACCTGCTAAGTTACACACAGAACTCAACACAAACTATCAACGGCTACAAAACTGTTTTTAACAAATCAATTCACACACACATCTCATAACTAAACTGTAATAAAACATTTTGCTAAATTTAATTTCTTTTTCCAACAAAAATAGTCATGGCATTGGTAGTGTCAAAAAAAGTTCTGCCAGCCTGAGTCTCAGTGCAACTTCTCCTTGAAGCTGATCTTGTTTAAATATGTATTAATGATGCAATTAGGTTTTAATAGTGGTAAGTAGGAGCAGACTGTGAAGTTTGCCAATGATATAAGACTGAGAGTGCTCTAATAAAAGAAAATTTCAGGACATCATGCAGAAAGAGCTGAGTGATCTTTCAGAATGGAGAAATAGGAAAGGGAATAAACATGAGAACTGAAAATAAGTACTTCTACTATAGGTTAAGAAATGGAAATGACTGAAAAGTCATGACTGTTGACATATTAATATAGTATAATACTAAAATATGCAAATGTGATCTTTGAATGAGTCAGGAAGGTCTTTCCAGGAGGTATGAAGTAAATGTTTGACCCTTTCTACTCCCACCAATTTACTCTGGTCTTCCATATTTAAAACTGTTGGATTCAAACTGAAACAAGTCCAAGAGGGCTATATGAAAAGACTATAATTCAAAGAGAGAAGAGTCATTACATTTTTTACTATAGCAAACCTTTGCCTGCAAGGGAGTATGCTAATATTGATAAGTAAATCCTAACATTAAATACTAAAGTGGTAAAGAAAGTCTTTAAAAGATAACATTGTCCCAGAACAGAAAAAAAAAAGTGTATATGTGGGTATATATATATATATTTTTTTTTTTTCCAGTCTACATGTAAGCTGGAGATCAGAAGAATGTGCCTTAAAGAAGAGACTTTTGAAACAGTTTTCATTAACAAGCAATAGAAACAGAAACCTAATCCCTTCTGAAATCTATAAAGAAGATTGCCACTTTTGACATATTGTCATAGCAAGGGATTGGACTCAATGATGTGGGAAGAGCCTTTTTACTCCACTATATTTGTACAATATTTAAACTACAACCTTAAACTTTAGGGTTAGATTTGTAATGATCAATTCTTCTAGTAATAATCAGCTTTATTCTTCTAGTATAAATGCACTCTGCAATCAGAGTAAAGGTCAGTTTTCCCAGAGTAAGGATTCCCTTGGCATCAGCAGTGTATGAATAATGAATTTCTCCAATATCTACAAACTGAATAAAATCTCTTAAATTCTTATCCACTGGGTATTTTGGATAACATTGTCCCACATGATCAAAAAAAAGAAAAAAAAATCTCAGAGGCTTTAGTGTGTACACTATAGAATCATTTGACTGCAAGAAAGTCCTAGTCCTGCACTGTGAAGGCAAAAGTCAGCCCACAGCTCTGGGGAATGGTGTTTCATCTTAGCAAAAACATCAGAAATATAGTTTCTGCAATACTCTTTTTGCAACAGGAGTTGCAACAGGAGCAGTTTTTATTTGCTCAACATCTTTGGGTAAAACTGGCTCTGCTTACAATTAAACGTTTCCTTCTTCCCTCTAGCTAATGATTTTTCATCTTTGCTGCAGAAAATGAAACTCAAATGTTTATTTCAACTGGGCTGTTACTGGTATGACTTTATTTTAGAGAGTATCCTTCTTGATTTACATCTAGAGTCCAAAGGGAATTTTGCCTTTTAATACAAAGAGGGAAGATTATATTTCAAAGATATTCATCCATTTTACTCCAGCTGAAGTCAATTGAGGGTGTGGGAGTTTGGAGGCTTTGGCAAATTAAGCCCTTACACAGCAGCCATGTTAATGATGGTGAGTCAGAAGGGAACCCATACCACCCTCCCACAACTGCATCAGCTCCCTGCTTCTATCATCCGGATGTGGAACACATTTACTTTTTGTCACTGAATTCAAATGCGACTGAATATAGAGCAGATCTGCTGAATAAGAAGGTGCAATTTTCCATAATGCCTTTTCAAAACTGAATAAAGGTCAAAATCTGTTTGACTTACATTGCATGAAATTAATTCAAACGAGATAATTTAGGACAAAATTCAGCCCCAAGCTGCTGTAAGACTACAATTACAGATGGCCTTTTCAGAAACAAATGAACACACTACAATGTCTCTCACATATGTCTTATAAAACTTTTCCAAATGAAATTAATGTTAGATACTAAATAGTTGTTGCAGAGAATCACAAAAAATAATAATTCCATTATAATGGGGATAAAATAAATTAACTAACTTGAGACAAGATTTAAAGCTTAGGTATCTTTCATGGACTACTCCCAGTTAGAGAGAGCTTCATGAATACAGTTAATGAGGCATTGCATAAAAGTCATCCTGGAGAGATATGATGGTCAACAAATATCTAGCATCAACCTAAGGATTTCGTCATTAGAACTGATTTGTTTCAGCCTGAATGGGCCATTCCAAAGCCTGCTGATTACTTAAACATAGAGGGCTGGTATGCTCCTCATTTCCTGAGAATTCTCTCTGCTCCCAGCACGCTCACAGTAACACTTATATTGTGATGGCTTAAGTCCAGATTGTGAATGATGTATAACAGAAGGAGCAAACAAATTCCCCTAAAACCATTAAAGTCACATTTTCATTGTTAGTTTGCGGCACAATACTCCTGTGAACAATAATTCTACCTGCTAGGAACACATAACAGTAATACTGTGAGATTGATTTAAATTAATTTATACTGGGCTACTTCAATTAGTCAGCACAACTCTAGAACTAACAGATGTTCCATACTGTAATGCAATCTCATGAAACAAGTGTATGACACAGCTACATTGATCTTCTCTTTACTACCTTTCATACTTAGTATCAGACTACAGGCAGGATATAAGATCAGATGCAATTATGAGTCTTTAGAGTTAGCAGCTGGACATGGCAGAAAATATTAGTAAGCTCTCTTGCCCTTAAAAGACCACCATGTGGAAGAAAATCAATTATTACAAATTTTTGGATGGTTTCCCAGATACACTGCAAAAATTGATAAACACTTGAAAATTTTTCAACCAAAAGAGGACAGGTGTCAGAGGAAAGAGGAGACTTATTGAAGCACTTATACCCTACTTTACAGCAGTGCATCATCAGAGTGCTGGCTGATCTGAAACCATGGCACTGCTCAGTGTCTATCACTATATATAAATTCATCAATTCTAAGGCTAGAAGCAGCCTCTGCAAACACAAAATCTTACTTCTATTGAAAACGGGACATAGGATGCCCAGGATGCAGTATGACCTGTGTCATAGACATCTTTTATGAAAAATCATTTCCTTAGGATTTTTCCTCCTGAGAAGCTGGGAGGCCTCAGGAACAAAATGCAAAAATTGATTATCTGCTGCTGTGGAATTCAACAGGTGCATCTTTGATTGGCCCATGTTAGATGTTTCTAATTAATGGCCAATCACAGCCCAGCTGGCTCTGACAGAGAATCTGAGCCACAAGCCTTTGTTATCATTCCTTACTATTCTATTCTTAGCTAGCCTTCTGATGAAATCCTTTCTTCTATTCTTTTAGTATAGTTTTAATGTAATATATATAATAAAATAATAAATCAAGCCTTCTGAAATATGGAGTCAAATCCTTGTCTCTTCCCTCAACCTGAGACCCCTGTAAACACCATCACAGACCTGTTCAAACCCAGCTGCAGAAAACCTTTTCAACTTTTTCCTGTTTGGAAAACACCCACAACTTTCTTTAGATGTGAATTTTCCTCGTTTTAATATCTTGCCCTCAGACCATAGCAATAACTTTTGGTTTCAAACTTCTGCTTCCCATGTAAAGCTTTAGCTTGCAAACCTTTGATTCTTTGAATAATAATAATTAGTCACTTGATAAATTTAACTAGATTAAAAGAGATTAAGCTGTGAGAGTCATGCACTACAGGGTTTATTTCCCAATAGGATAATCCCAAGGATTATATTGTAACCTCTCTTAACTCTTTGTGTGTCTGTAGCAGCAGATGTGAACATATTACTGCTCTGAAGTAGTAATATTCAAAGGTGACATAGTTTCCTTCCTTCTGTACAAATACTGAGAGCAATAACATCACAGCTCATGCTCATCTGAGCTTTGGCTCCTTGGAATTGAAAAGTTCTCCTGCTTTATTTGAA